CGCAGAGTGTGGACCTGCCAGCAGGTCTGGAGCCCCTCGGCTTCTCCTTGGCTCCCGAAGGGGGTGTCCCCGTGTGGAACCACCAAGGCTGCAGGCAGGAGCCGGGCCGGGCACGTTTGCACGTGCGGCGCCAGCGCCGGCTCCTCGGGCCTCGCTGCAGGAACACGTATGAGCGGGACCGGCCGCGTGGGGAGCCCCGTTTCGTGGATTTCTTCATGATCCACCCTGGAGTTTTCAAAGCAAAACGAGCAACTACCACCCTAGGGAGTCACTGGGACTCCAAGGAAAATTTAGGGGGATTAAATAATCCCCTGGCGCTTGTGGCTGTCTAGCACCTGACGACCTCTATTAACTAACACTCTCGGCGTGACCAGTTCATTGCCTAATGCAACATAATGGGTGTCATTCTGGTTCCCACTTCTTGTCTCTGGTGCTTCTTCCCTCCCTTTAAGTTTTGCTCCTGAGGCATTTTTAATTTTCTCAGCCTTATTTTCTGAAACTTGTCATTCACAGTCAGAACTTGTCAGGACTTGGCTGACTCAAGAGCGGTGTGAAGCAGCCTGGCAGCATTCTTGTTTATACACCTAATATTGGAGGGAAATCTTAACTGCTCCTTCATGGTTCTGGTTGGCAGTTCCAATATTTAATGTATTGTAAATGCATTGCTATAAATCAGGATATTCAAACATGCACAAACCAGTACCTAGTAGCATTGACACTACATTCTCCATCAGGTTCAGAAGAGAAGAAATAAGCAATTTAACCTGTAAATATGAGAGGTTTTCAAGTGCCTGGCTGGCTTTCCAGCCAAGAGAAGTTTGTATTTTCTTTCTGCCCCTCTGCAGCATACGGCGGTGTCAGGACCTTTACTTGATGTTATTTTTGAGTAATTGCCTCTATTTTGGATCTGGTCCTTTTGCTTCTCCGCAATCAAGACCACTCCCAGGCACAAGCAGGGCTGCGGTGCGCACAGCTCTGGGGAAGGGAGCGTTTTCCTTCCTAAGGGATTCGAGAGGATGGAGCAGAGAGCACGAAGTAAACGCCACAATGTCACCCTGATCTGCCCAGCAGCTTTCCTCTGAGCACCCAATTCACCCCCAAGTGAAGGAGGAGAAGGGACAGGTCAGCACTGGGTAAAAACACTATTTGGCTACAGCTGGGTCACGTTTTATCCCCAATCCGAATGTGCTCTCAGGATCTTGCTGCTGGAAGGAAGATCTCCCATCACTTGAACATGTTTTTGCTGACTTGGAAGAACAAGTGCTCTTTGGAAGCAGCCTCAGTCCATCTCCTGGGTGCTCCTCCTTCCCCTCTTGTTCATTCTGGAAGCCTCCTCGAGCGCTCTTGGAGCTTCTCTACCACCCTAAAACCTGCTCCTAATTGGAAATGGTCTCTGATCACAAGCAAAGCACCAAACCTCATGGATTTTTAGAAGCTGTAACATCTAAGGGTAGTTTTAGAGCCAGTCCTGTCGATTTGAACAAATGCAATTCTTTGCCTTTGGGTTGTTCTGCACCTAGGTTGGGCTTCTGATAACTGCGCACTGTTTGCTAGGTAAAGAAGTGCTGGAACATAATGGCAATGTGATTTCCCCCTCAGCCACTTTGGATATTTGTTTTGCTATACAATTTGGCATGAGTTTACAGCTACTTTCCCCAGGAACACACATTCTGAGAGCACAAGTTTCCATTTCATCTTACAGTTTTGAGGGCAGCAGAGACAGACTGGAGATTTGATCAGACTGGGAAAGACAGAGTTCAGGAGAGCTTTTGAAGGGAAGTCACAAACAAAATGTGTGTCTCAAGTATGAGAAGAAACACTCAGTGTCCATATGCTTAATGTATGACATTATCACGATATTCTGAAGCTCTCCCTCCCTCCACAACCTGCAGAATCTGCCACAAAGAGCCCTTCCAATAATTTAACTCCCATGGAGACGAGGGCTTCAGCAATGCATTTAGAATACCCCAGCACAGAAAAGAAAAAGGAAGCATTAAAAAATAACTTGCCTTACAACGGCCTTTTTAACACTTTTGGGCTTACTGTGTGCTGGCTGTCACAGGGGATGCCCCTAGGTCCTGCAAGCACGACCGACTGCACCCTCCCGGAACACTCAACGGCAGAAAGCATTAAAAGTATCAAAACCTTTAAGTTTTCAAAGTCTTTCTGGTATTTTTCCCTCAAAGTCGAGGCATTCCCCTCCAGGTGCTTGTTCTCCAGCTCATCTCTCATGATGTTCATCTGGGCCTCCAGCTCCTGGATGCGCTCTCGGAGGCCGTGCATGGAGTCGGGCTCGTTCCCGGAGCCCTGGACGCTGCCGTCGGGGCCGGGGGCCGCCCGCGCGCTCCGGTCGCCCGGCCCCTCCGCGGGCAACGCGTCCGGGTGCTGCCTCTCGTACTCGTCCAGGGTCTCCTGCAGGTGCTGCAGGTTCTGGCTGTAATGCTCCTGCAGCGCCTGCAGCTCCTCGCTGTGGATCGCTTGCAATTCCTTTATCTTGGCCTGGAACTTGTCCTCCAACGTCTGCATCTGCTGCAGGTGGTACCGCTCCATGTTCTCCTTATCACGCACGACAGCATCAAGTTGGTTTAGGCCCTCCGTCCTCTCAGCCTTGAGAGCATCCTCTGTCCTATTTAGCTGCTCTATCACGTTTCGAATCTCCTCCTCGTACCTGCCTTGCAATTCACTGATGCTCTTGCTGTGCTTATGCTCTTCCTCCTCCAGCAGCCTTCGCTGGCTGTCCAGCTGGGACACTTTTGCTTTGAGGTCGGCGTTCTCCCGCTCCAGCATGGCTATCACCTCCCCGTATTCACCCTGCTGCTTTCTAAGCAGATCTTCGTACTCGTCCCGAAGGAGAGAAACCGTCTTCACCCGCTCCTGGCAGAGCGCGTCCATGCTCTGCAACGATTCCTTGTAGGACTTCAGCTCTCGCTCGTACTCCAGTCGGACCCTGCAAGCTGCGTAACAAACCTGAGCCTGAACGATGGCATCTTGAACTAACAAAGAGGAGTAGCGCTCCAGGCCGCCCATGCACGAATGGTATGAAAGGCTCTGAGATATTTTTAGGAGTTTCTGACAATCTCTCATGGCTTCCTCAGGAGGCAGAGATAATAAGGCAACAGATATTTCCTTAAGAACGTTTGACTTGTCCTTTAGTTGCTGGGCAAGATCTTCTTGAATGGAAACAAGAGTTTCCCTACTACGGTCCGGCAAACTGCAGGTCTCCTCTATCTTGGCTGCTTCCTGATAGGGCATCATTTGCACATGGCTCCCATCCCATGAGATCTGCGTTCTTTCCGAGGCATCTTTTTGAATTTCAAGTGCTTCAGAAATCTGATGCATAACTCTGTCAAAATCAGGAGTCCTGTATGCTTTGATGATTTCCTCCAGCATGCATTTATGCTGCTGGAGAGCTGTTTTGGTATTATGGAGGTCTTCTTCGATAGTTTTTAATCTCTGATGAAAAGACTCTCTCATTTTCTGTGCAACAAACCCAAGTTCTGCCTTGATCAATGTAGCATCTGCAACTGTGCTGAGAAAACACGGTGAAAAGCCCAAACCTGCTGTCTCCGTTTTGCCCTCTGCTTCTCCTTCTCTGGTGCTCAAGTGCATTCTTAGTTCCTCCACCTGGCTCCAAAATTCCCCTTCCAGCAGCAGCTTCTTAGATAGGACGCTGGCCAAATCGATTGCTGTGTGAGAAACATTTGCTGGCTCTAATAAAACCACCTCAGCTGTTCCTTGGATCTCTCTGAGAATCTGAGATATCTCGGAGCTTGCATTTTTCAAAGACTCTGCTATTTGGTTGATTAGAGAGGCTTCAAATGCCACTCTCTCCGAGAGCCACCTTAGCTGGCCCGCGTCGACCATTTCCACTTGCTGCTCCTTGGAGGCAGGTTCCTCTTCACTCGGAAACATTCCTTCCGAGGCTGGCGTTGGTGCGATAAGGCTTTCGCTCTGCTCATACTCAGATGAGACTGGTGCCCCTCTTAAGGCTTGGATTGCATTTGATAAGGTTGTTTCCATGCTGGCCAGAGTAACAAGAAACAAATCACTCTCTTTTTCCTTGTCTGATTTGGGCAGAGATCTTAGCTGCTCCCTGCATTTCTCTAAGCAAGTCAGTGCTTGATCATTTTTCATTTGGAAACCTCCCAGCTCGCTAACGTGATTTTCTATTAGCTTCAACTTTTCCTGCCTCTCGTTTTCCAGCTGGGAGATCAGAGCACTGACTTGGGATAAGCTGGTCTGAAGCTGGTCCCGAAGCTGAGACTCCGTGCTGGCCCACTGATGGTGAAGGGCTATCAGCGTCTCCTGATTATGCCCGTGCTGGCTTTCCAGCTTCATTGTTACATCCTTGAGCTTTTCCTCTGTAATATAAAGTTTGGTTTCCAAAGAATGGATGATGGAGAGATAGGTCTCAGAGTCGCTTGTCCCTGAGGACGGGTAACCAAGAGCTGGCTCTGATGACATGCTTTCTTCAGACAACGATCGGTCTTGACTCGTGTCTGAAGAAGTGCTACTTGTCCAGTTTTTCTCTGATCCATCTGGATGTATGTATTTTTGGCACTGGATGCTCGAGAAACGGATTCGTTGCCTCTTGGCACCCATGATTCCTATATCAGGCTTTGCCAGGGCTTTCTGAACCAACTCCTGGTCTTGGAGCTCTGCAGCTTTGGATGGAGAGTCAAATTCTTCAGCTTGCCTCTGGCTGGGCTCAAGAACTTCATCATCCTCTTCCTTGGGTGCATAATTCAGAGCTGGAAGGACATCCTGAGTTTGCAGCTGCTGCCCCAGTTGACAAGGATGACTCTCATCAGTCTCGACACTGGGGCCAAGGTCCTCTGCCTCCTCAGCACACGGAGCTGTGCCTACACTAACCAATTTCTTTAGAGCCTCCTCTTTGGCCTTTAGCTTTATTTTAGTCTCCTCCAAACTGCTATCTAAAGCAACCATTTTAACCAGAGCCTCACTGAGGTCTTGATCTTTCTTCTCCACAATCCTCAAGTGCATTTCCTTCACATGTCTCAGCTCCTCTTCTTTTTCTTTCAGCACCTTCTGCACACTCTGGAACTGATCTGATACCTCCTCGAATGATTGCTCCAGGTTGTGGTAGTTGGTCTCTTCCATTTTCAACTTGGCTTGCAGCTTTGCAACTTCATTATCCGACTCCGCAACCTGATTCATGAGCTCATGAAACCTACATTTAATCTGATCTCTCTCCCTCTCAAGATCCTTGATGTGCTCTGCGAGTTTTAGGATACTGGCCTCCTTCATCACCAGTTGCTCCTCCAGCTGGTGGACAATCTCACTGCCTTCAAATTTTGCACTCAGTTTCTCTTTCTGCAGAATCTCCATTTGCTGCTCGTTATTTTGTAGCTGATTCTCATACTCATTGGCCTTATCCTCGACCTCCTTCAGACTCCGTATCAAAACCTGCTTCTCCTTCTCGCAGCTTTCCAGCAAAGCCTCGTAATTCTTCTGCAGCTTCTCCTCCATGAGGATCCGGGCTTGCTCGCTGGCGTTCAGCTGCCGGCTCAGGTCGGCGATCCTGTCTTGGAGCCGCTGCACCTCTTTCTGGTGGTCCCTCTGCAGCGCCTGCTGCATCTCGAGGTCCCGCAGCTCCTGCGTCTTCTCCAGGAGCAGGGCCTCCGCGGCCTTGAGCTTCTGCTCGCTGGCTCTTAGCTGCGAGCTCAGCGCGGCCTCGCCGTGCTGCCACTCCTCCAGCTGCTCCTTGGCCTTCTCCTTTTCGCTCCTCAGGTCGTTCCTCAGCTTGGCCAACGTCTGCTCCTTGATGGACAACTCGGCCGCGGCGTTGCTGAGCCTCGCCTGCAGGCCCTGGATCTCCGCCTCGTGGTGCCGGATCACGTCCTTAGCCTCGGCATAGCTACGTTTCAGGGACTGAATCTGCTGGTTGATCAGCTCTTGGCGCTGGCATTGGGCTTCCAGCTCGCTTTGGAGATCTCGGTTGACTTTGTGGAGCCTCTGCCAGGCACCTGATGGCGAGGTGGCCACCTCGGTCTTAAAAAAATTGGTTAAATACTAGATTAGTAACACTCTCGGCTCTCCCTTCTGAGTGTCACACCTCTGGCCAGGCGGGCCACGGAAAGGCTCCTTGCCTTGTTTTGGCTGCTACCCACATGCTCCAATTGGGAAGATTGGTTCTTGGCACAATTTTTTGTTTGTTTGTTTGTTTGAACCAACTTTTATTTTTTAATTGCGTGACAACTGCTTTCCAGTAACAGAAAACACGGACCGTAACATCGAAACAGCTCTACAGTAACAGGCTACGAGGAAAAAATCAAAACCAAACAGAACCAAAAAAACAATGAAAAAGAAACACCAGCAGTAAAACAGAGACAGGAAAACAAGAGAAAAACTGTGAGTGAGAACGCGGAGGAGGACGGGAATAGGCCGAGAAGAAGGGAGCTTCTCGTTTTAGCATCTTAGCTGGTTTTGTTGTGAAACAAAAAGTGCACAGTTCAGGTAATAACACAGTCCTACCGAACAAAAGCAACAACAGAAAAGTGAGGTGAAAGCAAATGACATCACATCCCACCAAAACGCAGGGAGACAGGACAGCCGTCGTGGCAATGTCATCTCTGGGACTGCTAGACAGGACTTACTGGCTGCTCACCGTATTAAAGAGATGTTGTTACGCTAAAGTTTAAGACTAGGAAGGATCTAATTTGCCTACCTGTAAAAAAAAGGACAAAATAAAAAGCCCGACAAGTGGAGGGCAGAGAGAGAGATGATGAGAATGTAAAACGAAAGAAACCAACCTCTGTGAGATTCAAACCAAAGCAGTGTAGCATGCAAAGAGAAAACTCACAAAGAGAGTCATGCAAAAGGCGACAGAAATTATGTGTCTTTAAAAAAATACACAGACAGGAAGAGGCAAGAGAAGCACAGCGTTAAGCCTAGGAATTTGGCCTGCCTTGCTGTACTCTGGTTGCTGCTAAGGAAAGCCCACAGATGTGACACTCAGTTATGTTAAGTTAAATCTCATGCTTAACACCAAAAACATGCAAGAATATTCCCCGGGACAGGTTAGTAAGTGCCCCCCTCCCTCCCACCGTGGCCAGAGCTGGAAGATACCACAGGGATATTAAAGAGAGGAGCGTGAGCCCCGTGCCTCCTCCCCTGTTAGTGTTCAGAGCTTTGGGGTGGCTCCATCACGATTCAACTCAACAGCAGGACAGAGAGGAAGGGTTACACGAGGCCGGAGAGGGCTTCAGTGCAAGGCACATGCATCAGTCCTGGTTAACTTCAGCGGCTTCGTTAAGAAATGTGCAGCATCTTTGGAGCTGGGTTAAACCCAGCAGCGCCGAGGCCTGGGGTTTGGTCCCCCAAGTCCAGGCCGGTGTCACCAGCCAGCAAGGGGTGGGTGCCCCCCATGCAAAGCAGAGGGGCGAGGGCAGGGAGCAGCCGGATGCCTCGACTGGATGTTTCTGCTACTCTTCTTCCATTGCCCATTAGTTACCTCCTCGATTTAGGCTTCACGGAGGACACGGCAGATTCAGAGGGTCAATCCAAACAACCATGATGTGGTTTCCCAACCCACAACCTGCTTCACGCCCCTTAGACCTCAGCACAGCTTGGGCCCTCTGCTCCCAGGAAAGATTGGGGGAAAACGCTACTACAATCAGACCGGAATAAGCAAAACCCTCCAGAAACCCCGTCTAACTTTTAGGTGCAAGTTTGGGCCACCTCTTGCTGCTGCCTTCGTTTGTGCAGCCCTTCTGCAGACGTTCTCTCTTGCCCCTACCCCTTGTGCTGAGCTGTTAGGGCCAGCTTCAACACGGCCAACCCGACGGTGGATCCAGCAGCCCATTTTTATCCCCGTCTGCTGCTTTCTGGGCTCTGGGCTGAGGGGGGTCAGATGTCGGTGCTCTAGGGATGCGCTAGCTCGTCTGTTGTTGCAGAAACACGGGCTACTGCCAGGGCCGGCGGCCAGCGCGGGAGCTGCCATAATGCGAGGTTGAATACGTCCCAGAAAGGGAAAGCAGCAGATTATGGAGTGGCAAATCCTGGGGACGGATAAATCCAGTCTATCTGTCTGGATAGATGGAGGAACCGACCAGATTTCTCACCATCTTCTCTCCTTTGACAAATGTCCCTTCTTGTTCCTCTCCTTTTCTAGGCTTAGGGACTCTGCATCTGCCATGCAAAGGGGGCTGGTGCTGTCTCTAGCACTGACTCATTTGCTAGATCCATGTCATTTTCCGGTTTGGATTCCAAGGACTTTCTCCCTCTTCTGAAGTCATCAATGTGAAAATGCCACTTGCCAAGCAAGTACTGTCAGTGTGGGGTCTCTGGATATACTGATAAAGCATTAAAAGCAACTTCATTGGGGAGATTACTGGTAAGGAAGGCAATATGTCTCCCTGCTAGGGACCATTCCTCCACCTTTGCAATTTCTTCAGAGGAAGTTTCTCCCTTCAGAACTACAGACACAGGGCTCGGTGTCAACGCCAGGCTGTAGGAGCACAGAGCACTGCCATGAAAGGCCACTTTGGTCCACGCCAGTTTGACCAAACAGATTTGAGCAGGTCCAAAAACTATTGCTGCACAAAGACTGCTAAAGCAAGCAGAAACAGCTCCACGGGCTTCACGGATTCACAGAATGCCTAAGGTTGGAAGGGACCTCTAGAGATCATCTAGTCCAACCCCCTGCACACGCAGGGTCACCTAGAGCACGTGGCACAGGGCTGCATCCAAGCGGGTTTGAAGATCTCCAGAGAAGGAGACTCCACAACCTCTCTGGGCAGCCTGTTCCAGTGCTCTGGCACCCTCACTGGTAAGCAATTTTTCCTTAAGTTCCTGTGGCATTTCTGATGCTTTAGTTTCTGGCCGTTTCCTCTAGTTCTATCAGTGGCCACCATGAAAAGCCTTCATGACTTCTTTGGGGGCACAGGTGCTACCAGAGGAAACGCTAGCAAAATACCTCCTTTTTGGAGGTGGGGAGGAAAGGTTTGTTTCCAGGAGACGTTCCCACCTCTTTCGCTACAATCTCCAGACCACAATCCCAGGCCTCGCCGAGGAAAGGCACCTTCCACCAGAACCAGCCGCCACGTGCTCCGCCAGAAGGGCCCGGCCATCATGGCAAGTTCCCACTGACTGCGGATCCGTGCCCAGGTAACAGCCGCAGGAACACCCTGGCCAGGAGCAAACCCCAGGTCTAGGACACCTCAGTGCACCCCACTGCCGAACGGGAAGGCCTGGGATAACGGAAGGGGGGAGCAGAGCTGTTGCACGAGCAAACGCAGCACGTGAGGCAACACGGATGTCGAGTGCACGTTGCTGAGGACCCATCTCCTTTGGCTCTGCTTCACTTTCCCCTGGGGAACCAGTAGCTAATGGTACCCTCTGCCTCAGAGTGGATGTGATCACTCCTAGGAGAGTTCTGATCCCAGAGCAGAGGGTTTGCTAAACAGAGGATCCGCAGAAGGCCAGAGCGTTACCAGTACTGACAGGTGGTTCAAACCTCTTGGATTTGAACCCACTCCGTTTTGCACATTTCTGCTTTAACCAGGATGCATTCATGAACACCCTGGACTGAAGCCCAACAGGTTCCCTTTTGGGTGCACAGAAAGCCAGATTTCTCTCTCTTTCTTGCTCTCCTACCTGCAACACGTAGCCCTCCCGGGCGCTCTGTTCCCGGCCCAGAGCCACTTTCAGCTCGTCCTGCAGGTGCCGGTTCTGCTCCAGGAGCTCCAAGGCCTCCTTCTGCTTCTGCTCCAACTGGTGGAATACAAAAAGAGACAAAGGCCACAGTTTTGGCAGGGAACAGCCATCAGGAGAGAGCCCCTCAAAGCAATGTATGGCGGAACGAACAGGGCTCTGCTCTGGGATCTGAGTCTTATTTTGCCAGGGAATATCCCTCCTTCGAAAGAACTCAGGGATGCATTATTTTAATTAGTACTGCTCACCGCAGTGAGGGCTGAATTGCACCAACTAGTGCCAGGCACATCCCATCCTGGCTCATGTTGGCCATACTCTTGGTTACGCCGAGC